TCCGAGCTCGGTCCCGTGCCTTGGCCTCCCGCGGATCTTCCTTGCTGCGAGGCTTCCGTGGCAGCGCGAGCTGGTCGTGGTCGTCCTCTTCGGCCATTCAACGCTCAGCTCAGAACTGGCACGGACTAGGGGAATCCGACTCTAATTAAAACAAAGCATTGCGATGGCCCTCGTGGGTGTTGACGCAATGTGATTTCTGCCCAGTGCTCTGAATGTCAATGTGAAGAAATTGAAGCAAGCGCGGGTAAACGGCGGGAGTAACTATGACTCTCTTGGGTAGTAAAGAGTCGTCTCCCGGCCCGATCGTCGCTGTCATAATGGAGCAGGCATTGTGTCTGGGTTATCCTGGACTGTGTACATCGACCGACAACTCAGTCGGGGCAGGGGTTATCTGGAGACCACGAGTCCTCCGACTTATCCTGAGCTCTCATTGTAGGCGTACGAGACCTTCGGGATATCTCTATTGCGTCTATACTGCAAGTAGCCCGAGGGAGGTTGATGTAGTCTGAGAGTAAGCATGTACTCTCGCCATCCTAAGGAGATGTGCCCTTGCAGCGAAGCTTTGACAGCTGTCCTGGCTTTACGAAGTCCAGTGTAGCGGGCTGAGTATTGTCGTTTGGAATCGTGAATCCTAGCGGCCTGGAAACCGCGTCGTGCAGGTGTCTGTGATGAAGTTTGACAGATTGGCGTGAAGGTTGGAGGAGAAATAGTTTGGGATTGTGATGCGAATATAGACCTCTAGCTAGGTCCCTAGCCTCTCACATCCAAGTCATACATCTACCTCCTCGTGGTACTCCTGGGTGCTCTGCGCTTGCGTAGAGTAGCTGAATGGTGTTGTGATGAGCCGGAGTTAGTGGGCAGACCATCCGCCCCGGCCCGGTCTATATGCGGGAGTAACCAGACTATCCTAGTGGATTTAGCGGCCTAGGGAGTCAGGCTCTCTCAGTGCTCTTGTTTCCCTTCGGGCGACTTTGGGCTTGGGGTCGATTACTTGGACTCGGCATGCGACATACACAGCCTCTGTCTGTCAAGTCATGCACCTACCACATTAGTGGTCCCGCCTAAGTGGTGTCATGGCGATTGTGCATCCTAAAGGGCTTGCTTGCGAGCCCATGTAGGTTGTGGGGCCAAGAAAGGGCAGATTTTCGGGGAGCTCTCGGTTGCCAAGCCGTTTGCATCCCCACACGCAGTCAAAAATGGATAAGTATGAAAATGGATCCTCACGCCCGGGTTCTCGGATGGCCCGGGCACTGCCTGTTTGTCTGCGAGCGAATGGTGCCCCCGTGAGTGCCGGGGAGTCTAGCGGCGCCGTTAGGCGCACGCCGGACATTGCACCCGCGACTGGATTGGTCACCGAAAGTCGCGACCCGCCTGTAGTCTGTGAACATTGTGGTCGAGAGTTCCGGAACATGCGTGGCCTAGGGGTTCACGTACAGTCAGCCCACCCGGTTGAAGCCAACCGCGCGATCGATGTCGACCGCCAGAAGGCCAGATGGTCTGTGGAGGAGACGCGTCTCATTGCTCGGGCTGAGGCAGCAGCCGCCTCAGCAGGGGGAATTCTCTTTATGGACTAACACCTGCAGCAGAGATTCCCTCATAGGACACTTGAAGCCATCAAAGGTAAGCGGCAACAAGAGGCTTATCGAGCGATAGTTAGAGAGTTCTGCCATGATGTCCATCCGCTTGCGGAGGACGATGAGGGCACGGGGACCGGCGAGGCGATGATAGGAGCCGTCCCAACGACCATAGAGACGCACGTTGGTCCTGTTGAGCAAGCATGTGCACGTCAGCCCGTACCTCAGCAGAGCTCTGAGAGATTCCGGGAGCATATCGGCGGACTCATCTCTAAGAATGAGTCGCTCCGGAGTTTCGAGGTTGACACTCTCCTAGGCATAG